CATATTTTTAGGATCCATGTGAATTCCTGGTTCATTCTCTATCGATCGGCAAAAGTTGCGTTAAGATTGGTTCAGAAACCTGGCCGTGATAAACAGTCTAAAATGTATCTGCAATTTGCCCGTTTTTACCCCCCTCTACCCCCTATTGACATTTTTTAATTTTATTTTTTTTAGAAATGTAGATCTCGTTGAGCCAAATCGAATGCCGTTTGAATTTTGAAAATCGGCCGGTTAGATCTCGAGATATCAAGGGGGGGTCGTAAACAGCCCCCCCCCCCCCCTGCCACTAATATGGGGTAGCCAGGAGCCTGCCACTAATAGGGTTAAAAGTTAGGAGGTTCAAACTTGCACAGCATGTGTAAAATTGATGAGAAAATAGTCTTACCAAATTTCGCTTTCCCGCTGTTCGCGAAAAACCTCAGGGGGCGAATATCCGCCCCCCCGTCGGTGCGCAGGTTAACCCATTTATGCCCAGGAATATTGACCATCATGAAAATCGACGAAATCAAAATATGTTATGCTCCTAACTATCAGGGCCTTGTATGGAATCGAAAATAATTTTTGCCTGCAGCAAAAGTTTCTCGAGAAAAACGTAAAAAACATGCGTTGCGAAATCGCAACGAAGGGCACACCGGGCGCCATCAGCGTTGCGAAAACGCAACGACGGGCACATCAGACGGACATAAAGTACACTGAACTGCCGTATATGCTAATATGTTTTGACAAAACATCAATCAACTGTTGACAACTATTGCTTGAAAATGCGGAACCCACATCCGTCATGCTCTATAACCCGCCTAAGAGCCTCAGTGAGGAAGCATAACTTCATGATTCGCGAACGGGGAGATGGCAACACGGTCATTATCAACCATTTACGTTGTCCATTGCTGTTCATTTAAAGTTGTGGTCGACACGTATCCAGGGTGATGCTTTCTTTTTGGAAGCTAGACAGATCCATTACCTCCACCTATCAGACCCTGCACAGTGCACACTGAATACAATTAAACGGAGGATTGGGAGTAAACCAGTGCCTCTTGTATGCGCGTATATCCGCAATCATTTTTAACCACCCTCCTAGGAGTAAAGTTAAATTCCATTGCAGGTTAGTCGTACCCACTCTCAGCAAAAAGAAAAAAGGACCGATCCGGCTCTAACAAATTACCCTCGTAAGGCGTAGCGCATCACAACAAATCGACTCCCAGTTTATCATGTTTACACCTAATCCAAAATTTTCATGGCCCCACTCTCAGCGACCTTCACGTGTAACCTCTTTCTCGAGACAATGCCAGGACAGAATGGTGATTCGACGTCAATCCGTCCTTTTCATCTTCAGGATAGTTGAATCCTCCTCCACGCCTCATCCCCCTGTTCCGGGCTGGACCGGCAACGTATATCGCAATCGGGCAGCTCACATAGGAGCGCGCCTGTAGCCGGGTGCAGTGAGTGCTTTGGAGGGTGTAAGGGGGTGGGTCATGGGTGGCGGCTGCCCACTGGCTGGGCTCAGTCTCCAGTCTACGATTGACCGTGTCCGGTCAGACAAATGTCTCCCCTAGTTCCAATAATCCTGCTAGCTCTAAAAATGGTCTGATTAGATAAAAAGCCTATCAAAGTAAGAAAACAGGCGTATACTCCACATCAAGCAGCTTATGAATCTATGCGAGTTATGAATCCTAAAAATTATTATTTTCCCATGGGTCCGCCCTCATTACCCCTGCCGAAGGGCTCAGCTACCCTCAGAGGGGGCCTATCCCAGTATTTGCCGACCCTCAGTTATCTTTTCTAACGTAAATGCTGGTAGTCAGCAGATTCTTTCTAGAGAATGGCGATGCCTATCTGTCGCCTGATACCAGAATACATCCCCGTTATTCATTATTTATGCACAATGTACATAGTAGATCCAATTTCCAAAGGACCTAATTATCTCTCAGCTCCGTTAGCATCGCCGACCGTCTGATGCATGGGTCCTTGCGATTTTCAGATGCATGGGAACACATTGCTTAGTGAACGAACAGCCCGAGGCCGAAAATCTGCGAGAGAAAAAGAAAGGAGTGTTTGTGGCTGTTTGAGCCAGCAAATATGAAATGTGTCGCAACATTTTACGTGCGAACGCACCTTGCACTAAACATACCTATATACGTCCCTCATGGCATAGGCGGCGGAGCGGGGGGAGGGGGCACCGGGGCACCGTGCCCCCCTTGATTTTGCCATTTGAACATTATCCCGATAGGCGTTGCATGGAAATGGAAATGGAAAGAATGAGACCAAAAGTCAGCAGTGCTCCCCCCCCCCTTAATTGAAGATGTTCCGCCGCTACAGCCTCATGGCTACAAAATGAGAGAGAGAAAGAAAGAGAGAGAGAGAAAGAGAGAGAGAGAGAGAGAGAGAGAGAGAGAGGGAGAGAGTTGGGGAACGAGGAGGAGAGGGAGGAAGATGGGGGAGAGAAAGAGAGAACCCACAGCGTATCACGAGTGAAGTCTACTGTTGATATTCATACTTCCGCTATCCTGCCAATGTGCCCATCGTTGCGTTTTCGCAACACCGCTGTCTTTCCGATGTGCCCTTCGTTGCGTTCCCGCAACGCGACCGTAGTCATATTTGAAAATAGTCACAAACCCTTTTTGTAGCATTATTTCTTAACAAAATGCATATCTACGCCATTGTAGGGACTCTGCAGAATATGTTTACACAATTTTCATTACGATATTATTAAGCACTTAGCCTACTTATCTTGGTTTTCGTGACGTCATCACTCACAAAACCTTCGACTTCCCTCTGGGAGCTCTAAGTCTAGGCAGTAACTTACCGGCCGCACAGACTTGTAACTGCGTAGTATCATGCGCACAACCATGCTACACACGCTGAAACTTATCTCATCGGTTAGTCTCTTTTACACACTTCTCAAGCTTCGATCACGTCGACGCTTGCTTGCGTTGCGAAAACGCAACGAAGGGCGTAAATGGGTTAAAACGCAACTAAGGATAGCAAATTTACAGGTATCGACTATCGGGTACCCTTTGACCTGTGGGGTCAGGTCAACGACGAAGAGGTCGGGTCTAGTTTTATCGGGAGCGAATGCTTGCACGTCTCAGTGGTCTGGCTAGCTGTAAACTGCCAGTGACCTGGAACACCCTGGACATCAGCTGGCTGCAGCTTCACGTCTCATTGGCCCTGGGTTTCGATCTAATCAAACATCTGCTTTCAGATGAAAATGGGACGGTTTGTGCACGGCATCCGTCTGGCAGCTGTGTCAGGGTCCGAACCGACACGGCCGAAATTCGGAAATGGACGCCGCTGGGGTCACGCGTCATTTGAACCAAAACGACAGCGACGACGACAGGCTCGGCGGCATTATCGATGCAGATGGGCGGGTCGGCGCCGGCCGGCCGCGGGGACTGAGTCGGCCGGCGTGGCGCTGCGGAGACAGCCACCGTGTTTAGTGTCAGCTCAGGGCACTGAGCGGCACTAAGACGCCCGGCAAACACTGGGTGGTGGTCAGCGCGCCCAGAAATGGCCAGCGCGGATCAGCGAGAACCGGCGCGGATCAGCGCGGCCGCCAACGAGCCCGGCCCGCCCGACCGCCGGCCGCTTCGGCAGTTCGGTGAGCGTCGGCGGTGGCTCAAAAGTATCAGGGCGCGCTTCGAGCGGCTATCAGAGGTCAGGCGCCACAGCTATAATGGAAGGGTCACCATCACTGTCCATTAGGAGACTTACGCTACTGTCATCACTGCATGGACAACCTTGCTCAGACAATATCGAGAAACGATCGGGACGTCTCTTCTTGTAGCCAGTAACCACGCATTATATTTTGTCACAATTTCACTTATGTGTGAAAAGACCTCTGAATAAACACACTAATTTCATGGTAGGAGCCAGGGATATGCGCAAAAGATTATAATGTTTTATTGTCTTTTCGTGATTACCACGAAAATGGATCTCATAAACCACTGGACTTTGACCTTTATTGCCTTGACCTTACCTCGAACTTGAACTTTTGACCTTAGTGTCCCTCCGTTCTTGTAACTTTAAATCTAAGATATAGTTATTAGGTAGCCAAATTACTTTTGGCCTGACCTCTGCGGTCACCAACTAGCCTCTGACACCCTAACCGGGTACTAACTAATCCTCCATGACAAGCAATACGCTCGGCTTGGCCGCGAGACCTAAACTCAATTAGCTGAGCACCAGCAGTGGTTCGTAGTAATTTCCCGCACGACATTCCTCTTTATGAAATACGCCCTGAATGGGCGAGGGTTAATGTCCTAATTACGTGTTTAATCTAGAACTGCTCTACTGACTTCACTGGTGTAACAGAAAAGCGGACCAAAAGTCGCGGTGGAATTTAGACTCGCATTACGCTTTCAGTCCGCGTAGTTTCATCTGACGCGACTTTAGTATTTCGAGACAAAAACAGTAACGCTCTGGCCAAAAGTCGTTTCACCGCTCCGAGGACTGGGCTGCCGGCACCATCTATCTTTAATTGTTTACAGCGGGTAGGCTGCCGCCGTGACCGAAGCGTCGCTTTCCAATCTTGTCACGCGCCCGGCTTGACGAACCCGAAAAAGCTCTTTGTTGGTACGCTTATGATAGCGTGTAGCTGCGCGCTTCCTACGCAAATTCATCCCCCAGTTGAGACAGGACGCACTTTCCGAAATTACTTCGAATGAGTTTGAAGATACAGCTAAGCGGATTGCCTTGATAGCCTGTTGTCACTTTAAAGTTAAAGGCTTCTTTGTCAATTGACTTGGAAAAAATCGCTGACAGTTTTCCAGAAACTAACGAAGAAATGCGTCTTATCTTGCCATATGTGTAAATGGCTGACAGTTATTTTGCTATATAGCAATGCTACATACGGGGATTATATTATTAACTTGATGACAGTTTAAATATACGACTATACAACGCACTGTCGTCGACATTGTGCACTCACAGTGCTCAAAGTTTATATATGTTTTCTGCTAACAGTTCAGACATATGTCTACTCACAGCTGTTTTCTACTTACAGTTCATGTCGATCATGACGGAGCTGGTGGCCGGCGCCGTCAGGTTGGTGTTGGACGCCAGACAGGTGACCATCCGATGGAGGTCCGACCTGTCCAACGCCTCCACGCTGTACTGGCTGACCGTGTACTCGCCCTGGGGCTGGTACGGTACCGGTAGCACCGCGCCCCCGGACCTCCAGGTCACCGCCGGACGCGGAGAGCCTGCGGGAGGAACAGGAGTGGTCACTTTCAAGGGCCAAGATCTGAAGCTATGGGTTTTCATTGCGAACCTGCGGACAGGAACAAGAGCGGTCACTTCAGGGAATATGAGTCGTCATTGAACCTCCAAGCTCCTACGGGACGCAGCAGGCCTGAGGAGAGGGAGAAGAGCAGTCAATTTATGGGGATGTGAGCCGTCGCTGAGCATCTACCAGTAGGTCATCGCTGTGAGCGTGGAGAGAACTGTGTGCAGTCGGGTACAGCGAAACGGACTCCTTATCATTAGGCGCGGGAGCCAGGGTCCTCGCAGGGGCCGAGACCCTCCAACTTTTCAGCCGGGGGGACTCGCCATGCATTAGAGCCCCCTTCATCCCCAACCATCCAAATCTACCAACCTTTCAAATTTATCGACTCTTCTCGGAATAAAAATGAGATCATGAAACTGGGGGTGAAACTCATCCAGCGATCCGGGCCGCTGTTATGCGGCGTGGATAGGCTGTACCGCTTAACACTCGTGTGATGCGGCACAGTCTACCATTACCAGGCGGCTGCTGTCAGCGCTGAGGCATACGTAAGCGGTGGATAGAGTCCCTATCGATTAACCTGTAACCGACCGTCAAAGGATCACAGCGGAAGAAGGTAGTTGTCACTGGACCTCCAGGTCACTAAGGAGATGGTATACCATTGTCATATTTTGAAATTTATTCCAAGGACTGAATGGGCGAAAACCAGCCCAGATGCCCGCTGAGGCATAGCCAACCATGCTGTGCAATGATTTTTAGAACCGGCAAAAAAAAACTACCAAGCCACTGCAGACCGTAAGTGTTGCATTTAGGTCATTGACGTGACAAGAGCCAATAATCGTTTTTCCTTGTTGTGCAACGCGTAAAACACCACCGATGATGTGGCTTCACCTTTGTCGCGGCGAATAATTCGGTCCATCATTGCTGTATCTTGTTTGGCACTGTGGAAATTACAGATAATTGAATAACTCACCTGAAAACCTTTTCGATTCTACCACCTCTTAGTATCCCAGTGAAAAGTGCAGGTAAGTACGAGAAACAAGCGTAAAGCAAGCATCGTAACATGCTTACCGTATGTCTAAAGTCTGGTATTTCCAGGACATTATCGGACAAGAGGAAGCATCCCACCAGAAAAAAAAGAGTAATTCTGTGAGTCAATTTGGATCATTCATTGCACGCAGAGGTTGAAAACCGTTCGTAGCAATATTGGCTGATCACAAGGCACTTCTAATGAATTGCAATCCAAATGAAAGTGACCGAAATGTTTGCGAAAGACCAGCGACCAATTATCGCGGAGTACCATGATAGCATGCCACACGGCAAGGAGGTTCCAGCAATTTAAAAGTGAAACCATTTTCACGAACACGTTAATTGAAAAGGCGAAATTTCCAAACGCACTGGAGTAAAACTTAAAATATCCAATTGCTTCCACATGGCAGTCGTAGACCGGACACTTTGCCGATTTTATTGCTGAGCGCACGCCGGCGCGGCGCGGCGATGGGCCGATGCCTTGGACTCGCGGTGGGTGGCCCTATCTGTGCTGAGCGCAGGCCGATTCGGTCAGCGTCTGTCGGTCACCGCACCAATCTACCCCGCCAGCTGGATGTGATGGCCCGCCTGCGGTCACCGCCATAGAGACACCAATGGTCCTTCTGCGGGTCATCACTGACGGCACTGCAACCGGACCGGACGTCGGACCGGACACCGGACCGGACACCACACCCGACACCAGACCCAACACCGGACCGGACACCGGACCGGACACCGGACCGGACACCGGACCGGACACCGGACCGGACACCGGACCGGACACCGGACCGGACACCGGACCGGACACCGGACCGGACACCGGACCGGACGCCGGACCGGACACCGGACCGGACACCGGACTGGACACCGTACCGAAATGCCGATTAGATATGGATACAAACCTTTTTGTTGTCAATACTAAAGTAGTACGAATACCGCTTAGGTGTTTGGTGTTTAGTATTTGGGCAGAAAGTGTCGCTTCAATATGTAATAATCCGGTGAAATTATCTGAAAATAACGTCACCAGCATCGGCGCTGACGGCGGCAGCAGCAGGAACTCGGGGTGGTGGTGACAAAGATGGTGGCGGGGCCAATTCAGAGATTTTGAAGTATGTTTGGAGTCTTACAACCTATAAAATGATCGCATGTATAAAGTCGTGAAGCTATACCAACTGGGACAATTTATTGCATGTGAAAAGCATCACACGGCAATTGATGCGATCTCTAATTTCCTCCATGAGTTACTAGCCGTTTTCACGACGGCCATCTGGTACACATTTGGTGCAAATTTGGTGCAGATTAGGTGCAGATTTGGTCAAATTAGGTTCTGTGTGTCTCTAAGTAGCTATAAGCTAGGGTTAAATTAATTGCTTATATGCCTGCTTTGTCATATTATCAGAGAGTATCATGGATTAAAACATTGAAGTAAATTCATAAAATAACCCGCGCACCGACGGGGGGGGCGGATATCCGCCCCCCCGAGGTTTTTCGCGAATAGCGGGAAAACCGCAGCGCGTAGCGCCGCGAAATTTGGTATGACTATAACCTCATCAATTTTACACATGGTGTGCAAGTTTGAACCTCCTACCTTTTAAGGTCAGGTCACTAGGTCACTTTGAATGACCCAACCTCAAGTCACTTTTTTGCAACTTTGTCACCGTGCCAGAGCTACAGTGGATGTCGGAGGCCTTTGGAAGTCGCAGGATATTATTAGGTCATTAGTAGCTACAATTTGTATATCTCGGAATTTTGATATCGGTGACCTAAGGTCAGGTCAATTTCGCGACCTCCCCATTATAAGTCAATGGGGGAAAAATCAACTCCCTGTTTTTACCACTAAAACGGGTCGGAATGGCCCCATATACCATACATGACTTCATATACGATCAACCTTCACTACCTTGAGGTCTGTTTTGCTGTTGGGCAGCTGTGAGGTCATGTGACGTCATCAAAGGTCACCAAAGGTTTTTGGCCAATAACTCCGTACAGGAACAAGATACAGACGCGTGGATGGTCTCATTGTGTTGAGCTCGTCAAGACGCATCGAATGATATACATGATGACCTCGAGGTCACGTGACCTGAGGTCAACCTTTGACCTTGACCTTTCGAGGTCAACATATATATCATTCGATGCGGATTGACGAGAGGATCACGATGATGCCCTTAGTTTGTTCCTATCTTGACTAATTCGAAAGTTATTCGAGAAAAACTCTCTCAATATCTAGCGCCGCCATTTTGACTTTTTCGACCCCTGTGACGTCATCTTTGACCTGACCTGAAAATGACCTCGGTAAAAATTGTAGATCTTGGCCGTGCGTATCCGATGCCGTTTACCGCTTGTCGCTATCTTGCTTCGTTCTCGAGATCTCAGGGGGGGGGCGGTCATCCGCCCCCCCCCCCGTCGGTGCGAAGTTGGCGCAGACCCCCGTCGGTGCGCGGGATAAAGATATTTGCTGTAAAAGAGATTAGGTGCAGATTTGGTCAAATTAGGTGCACTCACCGGATAGCCCGTCGTGAAAACGGCTACTATGTAGTAAGTAGATACACCAATGAGTTATTGTTAGCTATGTGGTATGGAACGAACCCTAGCGTCCTTAGTTTTCGTCAATCATGTCAAGTGAACTTCATTAGGCCACGGTTCTGGGAAACCTTAGCCATATTGCCAGAAGTTAGAGCAGGCGGCAAGTGTGGATCTAACGAATAGCAGCACAAGGTCATCCAGCTCAGACACTTACATAAATATTTTGAGCCCTGTGTGTCGGTAATTACCCCCCAAAGGTAATTCGGCTGGCTATTATCATCTAATTTTGATAGAACAAAGTCACGTTTTATTTACATAGGACAAACAGCATGTAGCTGTGGATGGCTGTGGCTGAGACTTTCCCAATCACAGCTGCAATATGTGTTTCTGAAATGAATAAGCTCAACAGCCAGTCGATCGTGGATAATCACGAAAACAATAGCAAAAATGATTCTAACCAAAGAAAATTTCGTCCACAACGCACTCGTTGCAAATTGCAATGCGAATATAGCATTATCTATATTGTAATTTCGTTATGAACTATGCCAAAAAGGATCACCATCTCAAGAACGATAAAAAAGACATTTGCATACATGACTGCCTTCTGCGCGCAATTCAGTGTATTTTCACCGTCATTTGCATTTACCGTCCCTTTGAGGTCGTAACACAGAGATCAATTAAGTGTAAGTACCAGGCCAGGCTCGGCACACACTGCCGGGAGTCAGGGGAGACTCCAGCGACCCGCGCTCGACAGACAGACACCCCGGTGGCGCAAACAAGACGTCCCGTGCGTTCTGCGTAGCGCGCGAACAAGAGCCGTCCGACTGGGTAAACAAGTCGGGCAGGGAGTCAGACGCCTGGAGAGGGTGATATGACGGTGGCGCTCTGTGAGCCGCCGTGTGCCGACTGTGTAGTGTGTATGTGTGTGGGGGGGGATGGGGGGTGTTTGTGGTGTCGGTGGGTTTTCGGTATATGCTCGCTCTAACAATGCTTCAAAGGCTACCAGAGAGCGGTCTTTTTGCCCTGGTAGCTCGACCGCTCCAGACAGTCTATGTAGTCGGGTCGACCGTCGCTGCCTCCTCACCCCTGCCCCCCAGCCCCACACCTCTCGTGGCGTCTGCTCTTGCTCAGACTGTGACACTGACCTTCGCTGGAGCGGGTAGCAGAAGTCACGTAAAAGGATCAGAAGAGTGGCTGTTTATCACGCCGGAATTCGTCGCAGCTGCTTTTGTATTCCATTGAGTATGTAGCGTTGAATAAGCAAAAATGAAAATAATGCTACGGAGAAAGGAATAATGCCATGATGCCTATGTAAACAGCATAAAATGCGCCTTAACATACCTTCAATAATGTTGTAAATAAGCAGAAATTCGTGCGGTTTAATACAGGTATATCATCAAAAAGAAATAAGTAATCAGTTACCAGTTATCATATGACGTCACATCTGAATGGCCTTGAAAGGCCATTCACTCGAAAGCAACCGGAGCTGAAATTGTTAGTGATAAAAAAACGAACTATAACTGCTCGTACTTCTGAAAATTTCTGTATACTTTTGAATACACTATACAGAAGCTTATGTACTTGATATTCAGCTTTCGTGATGTCTGAGGTTGTTGACGGCATTAGTCTTCATGCTGCTTCATCAATATCTCATCATTCAATTATGCCAAATTATCACCAATAATAAATGACCACCAACAAGTTGTGGAATGACATGAGTCACGGCACCTTTTCTAGCCCAATGAATAGTTTTTCACCTGGAGGAGTTTCGTTTGAGGGAGTCGTTCGTAGGCCTACACACGCGCCGCAAATCAACAGGTAGGCAGTCACGCGTGGCAGGCAGGCAGACGCTGCTTCATCGGACCAAAATATATCCACCCGCTCCAGCTCAGACATTCCCGCAATGTTTGCAGAGACATTGTTTTGATGTGAAAGTGGTGAACCATGTGTCATGCCAGCGGTCTGTGGCCTCCAAGTTCAAATAAGCCCGTGTTTGTTTGGATACCTTCTTAAGCCCATTTCAGCATCGATTCTTTTGATCTGCTGGCATTTTTCTAGGCATCAATGCATCGCGCAGTAATGGGACTACAGTTTATAACCCACATCCGTAGGAGGGCATTATAGTCAACAGAGAAAGCGGCTTCTTCCAAAGCTTGAGAATAAGGAGAGGTGACTGCTGATATCCGATTTGATTCTGAACTCACCTTCTCTCACTCAGCATGTGAGTTATCACTAGCCTTCAATCACTCGGTAGATCAGTTTTCACTCACCTCCCTTCACTCAGCTGTAAGAGTTTTCACTCACCTCCCTTCACCCAATAGGTGAGTTCTCACTCACCTCCTCTCGCTCAGCAGGTGAGTTTTCACAGCCCTTCCTTCACTCGGCAGATGAGTTTTCACTCGCCTCCCTTCACCCAGTTGTGAGAGTTTTCACTCACCTCCCTTCACTCGGCAGGTGAGTTCCAGCCGCTCTGTACTCAGTAGATGAGCTTTCACTCACCTCCTATTACTCGGTAGATGGGTTCTCAATCACCTTTCACCAAGCATGTGATTTCTCACTTACCTCCCTTCACTCGGCAGGTGAGTTCCAGCCGCTCTGTACTCAGTAGATAAGTTCTCAATCACCTTTCACTAAGCATAGGATTTCTCACTTACCTCCCTTCACTCGGCAGGTGAGTTCCAGCCGCTCCCCCGTTAGGAAGGCGCCCACCACCGTGTTGAGCACTGCTCCTCCGGCGTCCAGGATCTCCACGCTCTCCGGAGGAACTGAAAATTGATTGGGGAGGTTAGAGGTAAGACAGGGGTCAGTCAGTCGGTAGAAGTCAGAGGTCAGTGTGGGGGGGGGGCAGATCATCGTTATATGGGAGACTGTAACATAGATAGGAGGTCCATAGGAGGAACTGTAACATAAGTGGCAGATCAACAGAAGAAACTGTGACATAGGTTGCAACAGGGAAACTGTGACATAGAAGAAAGGCTAACAGGGTAACGGCAACATAGGTGAGAAGTCGACAAGGGGGGGCTGTATGAGCTGGGCACTGGGCAGGTCAGCAGGGGAACGGTAACAATAACTACATAGATGGGCAGGTCAGACCGCCGAAGGTAGATGGGGAAATGAAACGTTGATGTGTAGTTCATAACACTATTATAGGGGCATTTGATGTTTTATTTAAACAATGCACAAATATGTAGTATGTACCTAGTTTATAATTTATCAATCACCTCAAAGCCGTTCAACATTGTTGCAATATGCCCAATCACATAGTCAGCGCGAAATCGGATCTACCATCCCTGAGCTATATAAATGAGCTTTGCATTCGCGCAAAGGCAGAAACTCCCGTTGCATGGCATATGAGGAACATAAAATCTCAGTATACGCCCGCCGGCATATTGAAGCAGCGACAAGCTATGCTTATGACTGCTGGAGTTTCGCGCAAGTGGAATACCTGTATTTCACATTCCTCGCCTGAACTAGTACACTCGGGGGCAGATTGATGTTCTACAACTCTTTATCCATCGGGTTCCTATGGCTCAGCATTGGCAGCAGCCGCCTGGTACCGGTAGACTGTGCCGCTTCACTTACTTGTCAAGCGGCACAGCCTACCCACACCGTATGCCACCGATCTGGGTCGGTGGCTGGAAGGCGATGTGGGCCGCCTGTGACGTCAGCGCAGCGGTGAGGGCCGAGCCCGGAGGCATGGCTCGGGTCGGCGCGGCGCGGCGGCTGGCGAGGGCTGGGGAGTAGGGTGTGTCACTAGAAACAGATCAAGCGCTTCCGCTGATTTTCCTTGTCCCTGTGTCTATGGAAGCCCATTGGTGCAGTTCTTTTTCCCATGCATCGAAAATTCGATCGGCGCCGGCTGAAAGAAGTTCGGGATTTATCGTGGCGCCCGGCGTTGCAGTCTCCATGTTTGGCGTAATGCGTTTGATGACACTAACACCAGCCGCGCGCGTCTTCGCCTGTTAGCGTCGACAGACGCTGTCAATACGGATGTAAGCAATGCAAACGTGGCAGTACCATCTATTTAGACAACGGTTACACAGAAAAGATGCATCTTTGCCATTCAATAGCAAACTGAATTCAACTCAATTAGCATTTGCCTACCTTGCATGGTTCAGGAGACCGATTTTCTTGCAGGCCTCCTTTGCGGAGATGTTGCCCGTCCGCACGGCTCTGGTGAGCTGATACAGCAGGAGTTTGCCGCTGCTGAGGTCGGCGATGATGCTGTCCGGCAGATCCAGCTCTGGGCCGCTCACCGGTCGGAACTTCACGGGAGAAAGACGGTGCACGGAGGCGCCGGCTGCCTTGCCCAACGGCCCCGTGAATGATCCGGGTCCACTGGTTTTGCCGTCCAAATTCTGGAACACTTCCCCGAGTACAAGCTCATTCGAGTGTAGCTGGCAGCTTGTCTCATCCGGCATCTTTCTCTCCATACTTTTTTCGGGTCGACCAGCAATTCTGTTTTGCCGCTCGCTACGCGACCGACATCCATCTAAAAACCATTGATGACGGCCCCTACAGCACGGTTGGATAAACCATACCTGTCAGTCATCTGCCAGTGCAGTGTTTGTCATATTATCATCGTTTGAGTCTTTGATGCATTCCTTCATCTCAAATTCAATTCACTTGTGACGTCTTCATTGCTGTCGTTGGTGTCGGTCGTTGCCGACGAGTCTACCTGGCTTGTCTCGTCGATATTGACGCCGTTGGAATAGGTACGGAGGTGGGAAGGACCAGCTTGACCCACGTCGGCCCTCCCCTCGTTCCGCTCCCGTCTCATTCTAAGGCTCGCAGTCTTACGTCGTTTCCTCGTCTCCTCGTAGTCCACACTAACCAGTCTCATCTTCCAAACTCCTCTCTGGTCTCAAAGGAATGCTATTTCCGCTGGCGGTACCCGGTTTGAAAGCGGACAGGTACAGCTTCGCCGATCTTTACAGCAGCAGCGGGCGGTGTCAAAAAGCTTACGAAACAGACTCGCTTCAGAAACACTTTGTTTCGTTTGTCTCTCCCACATTCTTTCGGACACCTTGTTCGATCGGCGAAATCTTTCGTAGACTTGCTTTACCTTCAGAACCACATTGTGCATTTGTATCGTTGGTATGCCCTCAGTCCTCACTCGACCACATTGCAACCACCGCTTCCGCTGCTTCACGTAAACATGCAGTGACTGTCCGCTCACTTTTTCCATTGGCTGATTCAGGGGGGGGGGCAAAATGGGCATTTGCCCCCCCCCCCCAAACGGCATAATTTTAACATTACGACGATGCATGGAAAGAATCGATAAATTGTTATGGTTTACCCCCCCCCCCCCAAACTCTGAGCTGGATCCGCCTCTGACTTTTTCTATCCTCTGCCAAGAGTCTCACATAGTTCACTACATCTCTGTTGGTAGGCAGCTGATTTACCCGCAGCACACTGGGACTGGGAGACCCGATAACAAAATGTTTCGCCTTGCTTCACCACGGCATCACTGCGGCACGGATAGTCCGATTCGATTGCACCACACGCACTTCTGCTCACGCCGCAGCTGAAACCAGACTGACTCACGTTCTTTGCAAGCTCGTGTGTCTCGGGGAGACAGCACATGACTCGAAAGCCGACACATTGTGTTGCCGACGGAGGGGTGATACCCGAGACCCCGCTCACGTTGCCCTCTGTCCATCCGTGCTCTCATTCTCCCTGCCCCACTCGTGATAGTCTTGCCAAGGCTGCAGCGTGGTCCTATTAGGTACATGACCTATTATATGGATCATCTGTGGGTCCCTGAATGGCCCCAACACATTAAGATAACAGTATGTTTCGTCCGACGTCCATTTAAAAAAGAAATAACAATCGAATTTTAACCGTCAAACAGTGTTGGCCGCTACAGGCCGACGGCGAGTCATATGGCTGGTGTTAGCGCTACGGTACGCATTGTGTTCAGTATGGAGACTTCAACGCCGGGCGCCACGGGAAATGTCGAAATTGATTGGGCCCGCGCCGCCTGAATTTTCGGTACAGCGAAAAAAGGACAGTGCCAATGGGCTTCAATGAACCCAGGGACAAGGAATATCTGCGGAAGCGCTTGATCTGAAACAAAAATATTTGATATGACACACCCTACTGGGGAGTGAGGTGGGGTGGGAGCACGGACCATCGCGCGGCTGAGCGAGTGTAGTTAACTTTCGCGTCTCAAGGCGCCAATTATTCTACCTAACAATTGTGCTAAAGCAGTTGTTGAAATATCCTATCCCCAAGACAGCGCCTAGCATCATACTTGCCATGCACATTACGACACACTTACCTAAACGTGGCATTGGGACAGCCGATAGAATTTATATCACACGTGCATCGAGTTGCGGAGCTACATTGTTTTTAACAGATAGGTAAGTATTAAGGCCTTGATTGAGCTCATTGGTGTCTATTATTTCGCACAGCAATCGTCCAGAGACGTGGGAACTGGGGTTTTTGGATAGCGCGGCGTCCCAACTTTAAGCAACTCTTACTGTTCCTCTAATGTGTGGTCGCAGCCACCAATAGCAAACCGTTCCATCTAGGAACAAATAAGTCGCGCACCTGGAACGGTTCGAACCGGGTTTCTCCAACCGGTCACCCTACAACGCTAGCGTTTATCCACTGAGCTGCCGAAACCAGCGACCCCTCGCCGCCGTCAAACGCGATCAAATGTCACAATACTGTCATTGGCGGTCAGCGGGTCAATTTCATTTTGTTTTGTGCAGATGAGGACCATTCTCGGTAACTCAGTGGATGAACGCTCGTGTCGTGAATTGGCCGGTGGGAGAAGCCCGGTTCGAGCCCCCTGAGTGGCCGACTTTTTGGCTCCTAGTTGGAACGGTTTGCTATTGGGGGCTGCGACCACATATTAGAGCAACAGTAATAATCGCTTTAAATTGGGGCGTTGGCTGCGGCACTACTCATAACCCCCCAGTTCCCACGTCTCTGGACGATTGCCGTGCGAAACAATAGACACCAATCTGCTTAATCAAGGCCTTAATACTAATAGGTATGTTATACAAAATATAGCTCCGCACCTCGATGCACGAGTGACACAAGTTCTATCAGCTGTTCCATTGCCACGCTTAAGTGTGTCGTAATGTGCATTGCAAGTATGATGATAGGCGCTGTCTTGGGGATAGGACATTTTAACAACTGCTTTAGCACAATTGTTAGGTAGAATAATTGGCGCCTTGAGACGCGAAAGTTAACTACACTCGCTCAGCCGCGCGATGTCCGTGCTCCCACCCCACCTCACTCCCCAGCCCTCGCCAGCCGCCGCGCCGCGCCGACCCGAGCCATGCCTCCGGGCTCGGCCCTCACCGCTGCGCTGACGTCACAGGCGGCCCACATCACCTTCCAGCCACCGACCCAGACCGGTGTCATACGGGTGGGTAGGCTGTGCCGCTTGACAAGCAAGTGCAGCGGCACAGTCTACCGGTACCAGGCGGCTACTGCCAATGCTGAGCCATAGGAACCCGGTGGATAAAGAGTTGTAGAACATCAATCTGCCCCCGAGTGTACCTACACGAGTAATGGCAAAGGCTTTGTGTGCTCGAGAGAAGGGACTTGCAATGGAATGGTGAAAACCGCCTGACAATTGGAAAAACGAGTTAGGTTGGGTACGCCACAAAAATTATTTATAGAAAACCAACTGCCGCGCCGATGCCGCGCGAACTTTCGAAGCGGGCGTTTCATAGGCAGTGCCATCTCTTGCCGCAGAGAAAAGGCATAGGAAACACATTCGTTTCCAATGCGTCATTTATTTAAAAAAAAAAAACTACCGAAGTAGAACACTCCTGCTCACATTCAGCATTGGAGTGTTAATCGCTAAACACAGACATCACAGATGCGTTATAGTCGTCAGGCAAAGTCTGTACGTGAATGCCCTCATCCGAAGCCGTCGAAACTTTATCTCAACTTGGCCCTATGTTATTCTTTTCGCCTGATGTTCCCATCTGCCAAGTTGTTGACTCACGAAAACAGATCAAAGGTTTTAAACTTACTTCACACTCAACGTTCGGAAGTTGGATTCCGCTTCTTGGGGGCTATCGAAGCATGAAGCTCGCGCACCGACGTGATGTGGTCACCGAGAGAAAGGTCGAAGGTCCCATAAACATTGTCATCGACCGAGCCACTGACGCCAGGTCGGTGGGCGCAATAACCGTTCAGGGAGCACTGGCAGCCCAGTTTCACTCCAACTTGGTCGAACGGAGCCAACAAAGGTCATCGGAGGTCCTTTGCCCTCGCTTTATCTGCGGCCAGCCAGCGCTCTGTTGGGCTCATCTACCTCGCTGCTCTGCCGCTCGCGCCGTTTGCAATGGGTCGGTGACGGTGGCGCCGGCAGCGTTTTCGGGACACACGGCTGTCGCCGGCGGTGTCCGGCCAACTGGCAACATCGGGTAATGGAGCGCAGTGAAATTTCACCGGCCCACCGGAATAGGAGAAGCCTGATGTTGTGTCCTGATGACGACAACTGCCGCCCGTGTGTGTGCGTGGGTGTTTTAGCGAATTCGCTGGTGGTTGAACTAGCGAAAGGACGATGATCTGTTTGACTGTTTTTCTTGACAACAGCCATAGAACAGGGGAATGAAAAAGGGTTCATTGAAAATGGAAATCCAAGCAGAATTTTATCGTTGTTGTCAACTAGTTATGTTATCTGTGAAGCTGCAATGTTAACTTTGAATCGCATTGTTTGTCGTTCGATAAAACAAAAATGATCGGTAATCAATTTCTAGATGCATACGTTAGGTATTTATCTTATGCACTGCAATATTTGCTTACAACACTACCTCGCAAAGAAAATAACACTGGCGAAAAAAAACTCCAGTAAATTTAAGTTGATCGGGGCTCGATTGTCACAAAAACACATTTCTCCCCTCATCAGGTCAGGCGAGCAATACGCTGTGTAAACATAAACAAGGGCAATAAGCCAGTGATGCCGCTTCACGGCCTAGCGCGGCGGAGCCGAATGCGGCAAGCGTCACGGATAGGTAGACTGCGCCGCCTGACGTTACGGTGCGACGGGACAGTCTACCACTTCAGGCTCTCTCTGCTCGCCAGCGCGGCTGAAGCGACTGAGAGAAGGGCTGTTGTCTCGAGCTGTGCTGAATCGACAGCAAAGCGCAGCTTAGCTAAGGAGTAAGAGTTTATACTAGAACTGGATCATGAAAGCTGTCACAGAATGGCTGTTTCTGTCATAAACGTGAATCAACTTGCTGTAGGTAGATGACAGATGCAAAAAAACTTCACGTGGAAGTTTTTTGGCATTGAGAGTTTGAGAGTTTGAACAGTTGAGTCTATAGAAACATACGGATTACGCCTGTCTAGATAATTTCTTTATTTTTGCAATTTGCTTTTAGGGACGATTTCCAAATAAACACATCCATTATTGTAATCCACATTTACTGACACATTAATCAAACCTTCAATGTCATAACGAAATTTATCAAATACAACCTCTTGCATAATTCACCAATTTTAAGCCTCTCTGAAGTCTGAAATCTAGATCTGTTGCAGACTGCAGTCTTCATTCACAATAATTTATATAACCAGCAGAAATAAAAATTTGACATTTGTCGCATGACATTTGACCTGAATAGCTAACCGCCTTTCTGGAAGTGAGAGCTCAGAATGAGAAACGGCGACTCAGCCCTCATATTGCCGGATTCTCCATCAGATCCCACCGCCAGCCTGACTAAATGTCTCCATTTCAAAGAACGACGCTGACAAAATGTGTCGTCGACCGCCACGACCCCAGCGGCTTACCTATGACGGTCAGGTTGACCAGGGCGTTCCGGGTGCGCGAGTGCTGGAAGTCGACCCTGCACTTGTAGATGGCCTGGTCGGCGGGACCGAGGTCCCTCAGGGTAAGCACGGCCGGCCGCCGGCCGGGCACAAAGTCCACCCGCGAGCCGAAAACGGACGTGTTGTGCCACCGTCGGTCCGTTTCCATAGCGTTGCGCAGATCGTAG